TGGTGTGTTTATGATGGTGTTAAATTTTTGTTTTAATTTATTTATCTTAATCGTTCTGAACTTATGATGATATTGAACATTTTATTGACATGATCTCTGATTTATTGTATATCGATTATTGGATTCTGATTACCATAAATTTCTGGCATGATCTTTGGTTACCGTATTTTTCTGAATATGATTTTAAAACATGGATTGTTTTCACGTTTTGATATTAAACTATTGTTTTGACTGAAATACATGCATATTTACTGTCATTAGGGGTATTCATGGAGGAAGTACTTCAGGCTTAATCTATGACTTGTAAAACCTTACCGTAGGTCCTTCTGCTTTGTGCATAAAGTAAGTTCTTATTGTAAGTTCTTATGCTATAAGTCCTTACCATGCTTTGTGCACATGGTAAGTCCTTACCACATGTCCTTCTGCTTTGTGCAAATTGAGCTTTTTAGCTCACTCTTTAAATTATTTAACCTTTCAGATATTACCAGATAGTAGAGTAACAGACTTAGCATCAAGAGGATCAATTGTTCTTCTTTCTACCTGCTATATATTTATATATGCCCTTTTTGTTATATTTTGATGACATGGGTTTTTGCTATTGTCTTTATATATTTGTATGATCTGTATTTTTTCTAAACATGTGTTATACAGATTTTCGATGTTTGTATATGTGTGTGTGTGTGTGTTTACCGTATGAACCTTTTTGTTAGATATTTTCTGTTATATGTATTTTATTCACTAAAGTAGATTTCAAATACATTTTAAATATGAAAAGGATTTTTGAATACGATATGTGACCGCCTAGATTCGGTCGTAACGTCTGGGTCGGGTCTAAGGGGTTACAGTTTATGTACTTATTTTTACTTTAAGCCTAAACTATAAATAAAAACTTATCACTTTTTTAAGAAAAAATAATCATATTTGAATATTAAATGACATTGTCAAAACTTATAAGTAACCAAATAGAAATAGGACACAATTATTTATTTTAATAGTTAAAAAAAAAACATTTGTTGTCACAAATCACTAACTAAGACTAGTGACAAAAATGTATTTGTCACAATTATATGTTGTCACTATTACAATTTTCTCGTGAAAAATAAGTTGGCGTTAATTCAAGCCTTTTATTAGTGACTAATTGATAATGACAACTTACTTTGGTCACAATAAAACACTATTAGTGACAAGTTACTTGTGATGTGCTTTAAATTTGTCACAATTATTACCTGATGAGTGACCAAATAAAATTAAGTCACAATTACTCATTTCAGACGTTACAAAATTAATCACAAATAATCTACTTACTGTGAAGACTTTCTTCAATGTCACAATCAAATAGTCACTAAAGATCTTACTTCTTGTAGTGAAATGTTACCAGAGATGTGATAAAATTTGATCTCATAACTGTTTAACTTGTATTTTATGGATCCATTCTCCGTTTATATCGTCGTAGTGCTTGAAACATTTTGTCGTCTAGCCAATGCTTTAAAGCAACGACGGTGCTAGTACACATCATTAAAATATTATTTTATCATATTTCAATCATCAGGTTAATGTCCAATGAAGAAGACCATCAATATTTTTAACAGAAAATGACGAGTTTGGAATATATGAATAGTCGTGTGACCATTTTGTAACTTTTAAAAGTTAAGAGACTAAACAAAGTAGTGCCCTATAATCATGAGACTATTTGTGTAGTTTACCCATGATTAATTTAGAATGGATTAGCAGATATAATATATATTAAATGGGGGTTCCTCTATGAAATAGAGGGTTGGGCATATGTCCGTTGAACGGGAGACCTTATTCCTGGATATCGCCTCATAAAATGAGTAAAATCTGCACAGCTGTCAATTAAGTATTCATTAGTTAATAATTCATTTTTTTGGTGATCAAGTATTAATTAATTATTTAGTGGATATACATGTACGTTTCACCTATACCCCATCTTAGCAAAGTTAAGCAGAGGAATGAAATAAGTCTTTTCTGCAGTTTGACTGCCCCTTTCATTCAAACCAACTCTATACTTAATTATATTCCCAAAAAAAAACTCTATACTTAATTAAAATTCTTTATTTTTCTTTGAATAAAAAGTTCCTTATTATTATTATTATGTTTATCTATATCTTTGAATAATAAATATTGATTTTAGCTAAGATATAGATAATTGTACTTAATTAAAATTCTTTATTTTTCTTTGAATAAAAAGTTCCTTATTATTATTATTATGTTTATCTATATCTTTGAATAATAAATATTGATTTTAGCTAAGATATAGATAATTGTATTTAAATATAATAAAAAAGGCATTCACTTGTGTACTTATATAACCTATTTGTATATTGAATATATACAGGGAATTAGTACGTAGAGAGTTCTTGAATGATTATATAATGTCACATGGCATGAAATTCAGTGCAAGGCGTAGAATAAGCCTTTTGGGTATTGGGATGCAAGAATCACTAGGGATTAACTTTAACTGCCATTCATCCATCATAATTACTCTGTCTCACCTGTGACAATCAGTTGTAGGTATAGATTTTGAGTTTAATCCTTAATTAATCTCACTTCAATCCCAAGTTGAAAATTGTTTATGATGATTCTTTTTCTTTAGACAAAGACTTAATTTTGGAATTTCTTTTACACGGTGAGAAATGTTTATGATAAATTACGGGAAATTATACTTATGAATACTTAATTATTGTTCATTTTCACTTTGATCATCGATCTTTTATACATTTTAATAATATAGCGTTGCATTGTTGAGTTTCCTGACTATTAAAAGATACGAAATGATCACTCAACTATTCATAAATTCTAGGCTCGTCCTTTCTCATTAGAAAATTGATAGTCATCTGAGTTAGACGTTAACTTGTTGACTGAGATATGATAAAATCCAGTCCCATAACCGTTTGAGTTGTATTTTTTAGATTAACTATTCGTTTACATTATATCTTCGAGCTAATACTTGAAATATTACGTCGTTGAGACAGTGCTTGAAAGCAACAACGACGCTAGTAGGCATCATTAAAATATGATGTTATCATATCTCGATCATTAGGTTAACGACGTTCATCAATTTTTTAACGGAAAATGACGAGTTTGGAACATATGAATAGTCAGATGATCATTTTATAACTTTTAATAGACGAATGACACAACAAAACAACGTCGTATAGTCGAAAGACCATTTTCTAACTTTGAATAGTCAAAAAACTTAACAAAGTAACGTAATTTTTATACTTTACCCTTAATGTAACAAAATTAATATTGTGGATAATTATTTCAGTTAATAAAGTTGAACATTTTAATTAACAGATAAAATATTGAATTCAAAGAATTCATTAGGTGACTTCATCCGTAAAGGGTGGTGTTATTCTCCTTAGAAATTTTGATTCGAGTAGTTATATCTATATGGTGTACGATTTATTAATGAGTAAAAAAATTCTAAACAAATATTACCTTGTAATAACCCAAGTTATTAAAAAAATATCAGATCCAAATAGATGCAACCGACATAGGTTTAAATCAAAGTGTTAGAAGAAGGTAAATTTGAGTAGTGAGGAAATGCAGCTCACATTGATGGGTTGAGTATAAAAAAGAAAAGTGATTCTCACGCTACCACTAAATGCTGAAGGTAAAAAATAAATAAAAATGGGGGGGAAATAAGAGTGAATGGTCAAACACGGTAGCTGAAAATCCTACTTTAATCTCCCTCTCTTCTTCAGGCCTTATCATTTGCTATCCAAAACATGGTACCCGCGAGTTGCGTTGCCTTCACGGACATGACTGCTGCTTATTAATGCAAAAGATGCCTTTGCCTGTATGATGAGGAGGGAATCCTAGGCTTACGCGTACATATTCATTTTGCGTTTAGATTTAGCAATCAGTGCCAATGCCATTGTTTTCCATAAATGAAAACAAAAGGGGGCAATCTTCTTTTGAATAATCATGCTTGTGTACATCCACAAACTGCTTTCTTCACCAATGCCGAGAAGCATGGAAGGATCTATTCCACACATCTTCTCATTCCAATTTATAATATTTTTCATACCATTTGGCAGGCGGCTCTAAAATCCAACTAGTCCAGTTATAACTAGTAAAATATGAATGGCTTGGTTTTGTGGCCACTTAATCATTATGAACGGAACTCCATTGATGTGATGTAGATAGGAAATCAAGGTACCCTTCTAGTCTAAAAAATACACACCATGAGATTTTAATTACCTATAGACGGAAAAATACTCTTTTATTATTGAAGTTGAGTAACAATAAAGTATAATTATTTCCTTTTTTTTAATAATTTGTGATGATTACAAAATAATATATATTTATGATTTTTCTATCATTGACGATGCACACATACTCTACAGAAACAATTATTCAAATCCATAAACTTAAAGGGAGGGAAATAATACTCATTTTAAACACCAAAACTATTCAAAGAATTCCACAATAGTTCTTTCTTGAAAAAAAATTGAAAGTCACATTTGTTACCCTATTGACAATATACACCCTACAACAACTGCTCGAACCTAATACTAAAGAAAATAATCTTTTTTTACCACATGCCACTTGATGAATTCTTTTTTTTATTATTTTTATGTAAAACGTCAGTAGTAGTTTTTACTTATTGAATTATATTAAGCATTTTTCTTAAACAATTTAACACGATGCATGGTTTTAAAATCAATCTGCAGTACCAAAATTCAAATACCAAATATTAAATTAAAATTCATAATTAAGATTAAAGTCCAAATAACAAATGCAATCCAAAGTCCAACACATTTTCTTATCCCCAATGAACCTAAAAAATAAAAGAAAATAAAAATGGAAGCACAGTCGAGTAATTTAAAAGAAAATGCTTAACTTTAACCACACCAGGTACTTTGCATCTTATTTTCAGAAAAATCAAATACTTACTTCCATGTTGGCATCGCGACATAAACAACACTAACGATATGGATCTTGAAAATTCCACGCCCATGTCCACCAACCAGCAGTCCTTTTTAAAAGATGCCATTCTCCTTCAAGTACTCCACAAATTCATCTATAAGATAGGGCCACGCACCTTCCGCGTCGTAGTTCGACAGTGCAGGGTCTATCGTCTGCACGACAAACACAAATATAAAGATCATAATGTTTTTCATTAACATAACATGATAGATATTACAGAATTAACATGTCATCAGTGCCTCAGCAATAACGTTTTAATGGATTCTCGCTGCCTGACCAGTTATCATTTAGTATCCGCAGATCGTTTAGATCTTGTATGATACTTACACCCACATCTGAACAACATAGCCATGTATAACACTAACACTCGAGTTGCAGCAAGTCAGGTAGCATTAAGTCATTAATCAAATGAACAGATGATAGAAAACAGTTGATTTAAACTCTATGCATGCAGAAATATCCAAGACACTGAATTGAAGCCTTTAACTTACTCTAGCAAACTCCAAAAGTTGAGACCACGTGTCCCTAGAGATCGCTTTATTATGTCGAGCCTGGTTCAAGCGGCATCAAAGATAAATACAGTTAAAGAGCAACTAGTCAGGGTGGATGAAATACAAGCAAGCTCTTATAATTTCATATCTGACAAGACTTTACAAAGGATAGTACATTCAAATTTATGGAAATCAGGCAAAAATTGTACCTTTCATGAGTGATTGAAAGAAAGAAAGAAAAAGAAAAAAAAAGAAATTCCATTAAAATTTGCAGCCATAATTTCATGCTAAAGAAATTCCTGCTAAGACAGCTATCAGAAGATTTACTCAACTTTAGGGCTTTGCTTGGTATGAGGATGGAAATGAGGAAGGACGGAAATTTGTTAATCAAATGGTTAAGATTCAAAACCATTTGATTAACAAATTTTCCATCCTTCATACCAAGAAAAGACTAAGAACATTCAACCATCGATAGCAGAGTAAGCATTATCACCTTTTTGCCACAGTTTCTTATCACAGTGTTGATAAACTAATTTAAATTTATATGATGAAAATTATACCATTGAATTATTAATGCAAGTAATCTAGCAGGTCAATTAAAAATGATCACTCCAGAATTCCTAAGAGTACTAAGAAGGAAAGCTTTAAGGTACCTGTAAAAACTGGCACCAATGGTCAACCAATGGCCACTGCTTCTCAGCAAACAGCAATTGCCACATACCAATTGCAGTATCCAATGCCAAAGATTTCTGACTCTGAGACAGAAAATATATTATTAAGTACCTGCATAAGGCCATTATCTAGGGGAATGTATTTTATTCACGAGATTAACGTTCTAGTGGATATTCTGAGGGATAAATCACATTTTAAAGAAAACCTACTAATAAGAGAAATTATTTCATGGACCCAGCTCACAACGTCATCCATGGTCCCAATGAATGACAGCCACAAATTTTAAAATAACTTCCAAATAACCACCCACTTTTTATTTACATGTAGGAAAGAGGTGAAGATTCACCTTTGAAAAAAATGATGTGGACAAATGTTATTAGTTGGGACCATGGATGACATGGTGAGCCGGGACCATCTAATAATTTATGTACTACTAAATATATTGCAAGACATGTAATCTAAAGGCTGAAACTTTATTTTTGTAACATAAACATTCTCCAATTGATATAACACAGATAATCATCCGAAGCAAGCAACTGCCAACAAGGAGAAAGAAACATGTAGAAACTAAGTGTTTGTGACGGAGATCAAGTTGATTCTATGTGATAATTTTCTTCTTGAAAAAATAGAGTTACAATTATCCTTTAAATAGACTAGATGCATAGAGTTACAATACAAGTAAAAATTACTCTAGATAAAATTTTATCCTATTAAGTGATAAGAGTTATAGAATATCTAAACTACTTAGAGATAAGAGTCATATGATATCTAAACTACTTAGTTATTAACAGTAAATCTAACTCTATTTACCATCTATAATCTACAAAACACCATGCCACAACTATTCACTCAATTAGCAGCAAATTATTCTTCTGCATAGAGAAAACTTCTATCATGGACAGTTGACATGAAAGGATAGACTACCTTTTCTTTTGCCCAGCCAAATGCAAAGTTATATATCTCGCGAAACTTTTCTGCAGTCACAATAAGCAAAGACGAAAACAAGCTTGCATCACACAAATATGTTTGCTTATGAATCACAGCATATGAATATACCTAACTAATTTGGAGGAGGAAAAATTCTAATTCTCTAACTATATCTAAATAGAAGACATTTCTTCTGCCAACGCAACATGCACGAGTCGTTAAAATAATTTCTTGTAGGATGCTGAAAATTATACTCTATGGAGCACTTGAACATACGTTCATCTCTCAGCTCAGAGCGCATAAATGGTATCCTCTCACGAAACTTCTCCAGAGAATCTACCCTGCCATGAAAAGTTGTAAATTTCTGTCAGAATCACATTACAGCAAGTCATTATTGAATCTAATTTCATTTCATGTTGGGAAATTATTAGAAAGACATAAATGCCCACCCTAGTGCCTGCAACCCAATGAAAAACTCCTCTTTGGAATATTCACACATGGTAGAAGCCTTCATGTGCCATGAAACGACTAACTGCAATGTACCAACAATATTAGCACACGTGTCCACAAAATATTGGAACCAGACAGGAACAACTTCTAAATATCAATTAACATCTTGTGAAACCTCCTAGAAGATTTAACCGTCTATGATAATGTCAACACTTCCTCCAATAGTTTAACAAAACATTTAACCTGAAGTACCACCATTGTCATTTTCCCAAGTCATCAATCATCGTAACCGAAGCTAGAGCTCTGAGAAAACATACTAAGCAGCATTGATTAATGAAAGTTTCAGAACTATTCTAGTCAACTCATTAGCTTTTGCTAAAAGCAAAAATATTCCTTCCACAACCCACTAAATTGCAAATTGTTTTAAGTCCAACCAGTTACTTCAAAAATAATTTAGAAAAGCCGCATCACCATTTGTGAAGACTATTATTTAGTGGGATGTAAAATTTGAAACTAAAAGTATTCACAATGAGAAAAAGGAAAGACCATGATCAACACACATGCAGTGCAAGGAAAGGATGATAAAAGCAATCGACAACATCAGCAGGATTCTGAAACTTTTAGTTAGCACTTTAGACTTGAGGAAACGTAAGCCAAAGAGGAGAATATAAATAGTAAAAAGAATCTATGATTCTTATCACAAGAGATTGTACTTCAGGCAGCGGACATACCATAACAATATCTTGGGGATCCACCTGTCAAAAGAAGGTTACTATGTGTTATATTTTGAAATGCCGATGAATTTATGTATAAATGAAATGATAAAAAATTGAAATAAAGGGGTAAACAAGATGTCAGACAACAGATCTCGAAGGATAAAAAAAGCTACCTGGAGGTCATTGCATAGAAGAGTAATACCATCAACTAGTATCATATCTGTGTAAGGATCTGCATAAAATATTGGAGTAAGTATTTTATTTTATTTTATTTATTTACCCTTCTTTCTTTTTTTTCCTTTGAAAGGAATCGTACAAGCTACTAAATACAGCCAACGTATCAATCAATGGAAAGTAAGCAGCAGAAATGAAATTCAGGATTCCATTGAATTGAAAATAAGAGCATATCGATATCTCAAAAGAACAGAAAGAAAATCAGCAATATTCTCTGTTATGTTCTATCAACAATACTATACTCAAGCAAAACCACAAATTATTAAGGTAAACTAAAAAATAGGAAGAGAAACAAAAAATGAAAGGAGTAAGGACAGAAAATCTTGCCTTTATATCTATTATAAAGCTCTTCCAAACGTGTAATGTCAGTATAACTTTTAATATGAGGCTGGCTATAGAAAAAATCGAAAGCTCCTTCAAGATGCCAATCACTCGCCTTCAAAGCTTGGAGAGCAAGTTTTTCACTACAATTAAATAACCAAATAAATAAATACATGAACTAAAGAATGGAAAAGAGGGAAGCAAGTCACAGATACAATTTCAATCTTGTTATAGATAACAAAAACCATAATTTTAATGATAACAGGGAAAAATGGCATTGGTAAACATGGGAAGAGTACGAACAGATTTTCACTGAGGAACCTGATTCAATCATCTGTATCTTTTACACATCCATTTCTCATTCTTTTCCATCTTTGCACAGAAATTGTTTTTTCCCGTCCATTTTTAAAACTACCTCTATATCAACAGTTATTTTGAAAGTAAATCCTAGGTACACCCAAATATTAACAATAAAAAAATGAGGTTACCTCGCTCCAGTTATTGTCATGAATTGCTGGACTTTGTCCCGATGACCTCTGCCCAGTTTATGCTGTTCCGAACAACAAAATCATATTACGCGATATAAGCTAGGAATTTGGTAACATGCTTCTGGTTATACAATTAACAACACATTTTCATTTTGAAATAAATTTTGCCTGTAAGAATAACATCTTACAAGAGCTAACCCATACATTTTTTTTTTTGAATTCAGCAGAAAGCAAATCTTTAGTTTCAGTTAGATTCCCTAATGATCGTTTTCTAGAACTTAATTCCTTCGATTTTTCTATGGCGAATATTAAGAAAGTAGAAAGAAAACAAAATTCAAAATAACAAAAGGCAACTTCTATATGGGAAGCAGCAACCGAAGATAAACAAACAGTTTTTCTTTTAAGGAAAAAAGAGAAAGGGAAACGAACTAACCATATCGGGGTTTACTGTAGAAAATTAAAGAACCCTAAAATCGACAGCAAATTGGGAGTGTATGTTCGCAGATGTTGCAGTACGCTCAGTGAGAAGAAAGAAATCGCAGGATTTCCCCTTCAATTTCTTCCTTCTTTTTCCACTCCGTTTTCTTTTTAAACCGCTTAAATACACAATTGTGAAGAGAAAATTGAGACCACGTCTTTACTTATCTTCCAAGATAAACATTTCAAAATTGTATTTTACATCTTATTTTTAACGAGGTAATTGTATTTCAAAATTGAAAAAGGGCACCAAGGCTGAAGACCGCGCCTTTTAAATTGATATCTAAACTTTTAAATATTTTAGTTTATTTTAAATTAGTTTTTAAATTTTTAATATTTTAATTTCATCTCTAAATTATGACCTTCAATTTAAATTAGTCCCTAAA